GTCTTCTGCAAGAGCAGCCAGTGCTTTTAACTGCTGAGCCATCTCCCCAGCCCTGGTTTGGTCCTTTTATGCACATTATGTTATGATTCTGGCAGTGTTCCTGTACTTAGATGGACTTACACTGGTAGTGAACAAGATCAGTAATCTTTGAAAATATGTAGATTATCTCCTTCAAAAATTTTTAAAGAAAAGGATTTTCACTGTTTATTGGAAAACTGATACATTAAACCCCAAACAATTTCAAAGAATGTTTTATTTCTGAAATGTTTCTCTTCATCACTAATAAAACAAGGACATGTTTAATTTGACTCACCTTTGATCTTACTAAAACAAAACGAGCTACAGCTTCCCAGATGTCACACTGCTTCCCTCCTGCTTTTCCTGCCTCCCTCCCCTCCCCAGCACCTCTCTGAAGTACTGCCTCAGAACTTCCACACAGTGCTTTTGCTTACGCTAAATGCCGTGCTCCACTTTACATCCACATGCATCAAAGGTTCCTCCCTGGTTGGGTTCATGTTTGTATGTTGACACTGTGACTTGTGTGGGACAGATGCATGTGATTTCGTCTTTTGTTTTTTCTTTTGTCAGGTGAATACAGGTAGACTCTGGGGTCTCCAGACCATGTGCCCCCCACTGCAGTGCTAGAACCTTCAGGGTCGTTCCTCCCCTGTAGCCCCTTGGTGCCCATGACCAGATGTGGTAGCGGCTGTAAGGAGGGCTCTTGGCCCTGCTCTTGTCTCAAGCTTAAGGAGAAATCTGCGGTGCTCCCGTAAGACAGTGTAAGCTAGGTGGTGATAGTCCTTCCATCTAAGCCAGAGCAGGGAAGTCCCTGGTCTCCTGTGAGCTTACACCCTTCCAGAGGTCTCTGTCTTTTCTCTCTGTATCTCCTCACAGAAGAGGTTTTCCTTGTGCACTGCCACTATTTTAAGGCTCTTTGCGGGTCTCTAGTTGGGTCGAACTAAGGGCATAACCCACCCTCAGCCAAAAGTAAACAGTTGTTGAAGCTCAGTGCCAAGGGCTTAAGTGTTTATCCTCTTCCTAACCTACCTGCTCTTCTCTCCTGGCCCCTCCCTCCCCCTCTCCTGTATTCCTACATCCACCCTTGTAGAAAGACTGACCTGTCCTGAATGGACCCCTTCTGGTAATGCAGCTGTGGGCTCCAGGCTGACCTCCACCCTCTTATGCAAACCTTTGCAAACACCATCATTATACCTCTCCATCTTCCAGTCAGGCCACAATTCCTCACAAAGTTTTCTTTTCCTCCCTCTCTTCCTTCCTTTTCTCCTTCCTTCCTTCTTCCCTCCCTTCCTTTCCTCCCTCCCCCCTCCCTCCCTCCCCTTCTCCTTCTTTTCTTTCTTTTTCTTTCTTTCATTCAGAATTATCCTTGAGTCCAAACTGGCCTGAATCTGACTATGTAGCCTTGGCTGACTGTGAACTTGAGGCAATCCTGCTTCGGCCTCCTAATGCTGGGATACAGGGGTGAGGAACCACCACACCCAGCTCCAAAATGTATTTTCTTTGCTCCCTCAAAGAAGCCTTTTTAATGTTGTCCTGCAAAGTGATGTCTTGATGAAGTTTCACAGTGCTCTTTAAGTCCCATAGGGGCCACTGACTTTCACACAGTTCGTGTGTGTTCAGTTCTCCCTGTCTGGGGCTGGCGGGGACCCCAACTCATCAACTGGAACGCCTTGAAGCCTTCGCTTGCTCACTTGTCTAGGATTTCCTGCCTGTCTCCGGCTTCAGCCAGTAGTCAACTTTCTTCTTTACTCTGGATTGTGTTTATATCTCATGGTAGCTAGAATTTGATTGAATTCTGATTGCCTATTGAAGTCCTGGGCTGGTGTGGCCCTTTGTGTGTCCCGTCTATCCAATGTTGTGCTTGGCTGTTGTCCTAACACTAACTATTCAGTTACTGACAGTTGAGCATCTAAACGATATTCTTCCTCTCAGAGACTGAATACTTGTATTCCTGTTAATTATTCAGGCTTTTCTCATCTTTTATAAATCTGTACTCAGACTGACCAAAGTTAAACTTGAACCTTGAAGTTAGAATTCTTCAAAAGGCATTTTTTTTACTAAACTATTGTCACAGTTACAGTGAAAAGCCTAACAAACCAGTTGTGTCATGGATCATCCACGGCATTTATCAAAACCCTCTTCCAGGCATTTAAAACAGGCCTGTGGTGGGGTGACAGAGAGTGCCCTGGCAGTTAGGCAGCTGGCTTCACTTAGAGTGGGGCGACAAAGCAGACAGCAGATAAGGAGTGCTCAGAGGCTAGGAAGGGCCAGACCTCCCAGGGGGCTAGAGGGGGCTTCACAGGGAGCCTGGGAGAACATTTCCAGTCCAGCAGAGATAAGAGGAAGTCTCAGCACGGTGGTCAGGCTGGTGTGCTGCCATGGCCTGTTCTGCCAATGGATGAGAAGCGGAGGGTGGTTCAACGTCAGTCAAGGTGAATGATACTTCTCCTGGAACAGCCGCGTGGAGGGAATGAAATGTGGTCTGAGAGTCTTCTCCCACAGGCTGTGGGTAGTGTCAACCCCGCAGAGAGGTGTCTGCTGAGATGTGCTACAAGCACCACTTTTTCAGGGTCTTACAGATCCTAAAAAAGGAATTATTCCATCCACATCCATGGCTCCTGGGCCTGCCAGGAGGTCACCTTGCTTACCTGAAAGCTGAGCACCCAACAAACTAGGTCCTGGGCTTCTTTTCCCAGGAGGACACTGTAAATTCAGGCTCTGTAAAGCTGATGTGGGTTCTTTAAATGTGTGGTGTCTGCTGATTAAACGAATATCATTCCCAGATAGGATACTGCAGGCAAGACCATGGCTGAGGACCAGTGTTCAGTTACTTCCCGGTAACAAGGGAGACAAACTATGTTTGAACCTGTCGGGGGTGAAAAATCACATTCCAGTTTCTGAACTCTAGAAAGATCAAACAGGAGACATAACTGTCATTTTCAGATGTGCCCTTTCTGTTTACAAAAGCGTAGTCTACCGAACTGTTAGGGGTGCACAGTAACAAGGGAAAGAACACAGCAAAGCACATGGTACACCAGCCACATTCCAACTAAAAACCTGCGTCCTCCCGCCCCAAGTAGTTCATTTGGCTCAGGAACTGGTTCTTGTTCGGCCTGGCTGGGTTAGCAGCCCTCTGGGCCCATCTGCTTCTCAGCTAGAGTTTCTCAAAGTCCCAATATGATCCCTTGAGAGGTCAGAGCAAAGCAAAATTCTAGATGTCCACGGTTAGCTTATTACTAGCCATTTTTATAGCCCAACGATCTGATGATAATTCATTGTAAAAATATAGGCAAAGGAGACATAAAATTGGACATCATATGCAAAACACCAAGTTTTGGCAAAGCATCTGTAAATAATGATAAACCTGGTTTTCCAAAGGGAGTGGGAATCACATCTATTTATAAAAGCAGGGGGGCCAGAAAGATGGCTCATCAGGGGTGAAGGTGCTTGGCCCCAAGCCTGATGACCTGAGTTCAGTCCCTGGGACCCACATGGTAGAAGGTAAGAACCAACTCCTGCAGGTTGTTCTCTGACCTCTTCATGCGTGCCATGGCATGTGTGTGCATATGCATGCTAAACAGTTGTAATTTAAAAAAAAATAATAAAAGTGGGATAATGTAGACTTGTAGAAAAAAATCAGATGCAACAAAATAGTCCTAAGAGATGTTTATGGTATGTCAAGTGTAAGCAAGAGTGTCAGAGAAAGGGACTTGTCAGTGCAGAGTAAGAACCACGTGTCTGCCTGTCAGGTTGCATGTGCCAGTCTTCTCCACGTTGTCAGTAGTGACTCGTTAGATGGACAGTTATCTCTAGCTCCCATCTTTTAAAAAGCAGAAGAACATGTCTTTGTGGTTTTCCAGAAAATCTCATAGCTTTAGGTAGAATAGATCCCTGAGTTTGATCTGGGGAAGGGAAAATCTCAGAAGTTGAGGAATTTTGAACACCTGATTTAAGACAGGGCCATGGTGACTTAGAAAATACCAACTGGAAGTTCCCCCTCTTACTAGGTCAGTAAATCTGGAGCACCATTGGAAGAACGTATGTTCTAAGAATGAATATGTTTGCTCATGTAACACCAGGAATACACAGGAGACTTAGTAGCTGTTTTTCCCCAAATTCAAAAATACTCAGCTAATTTAATTTTAATTTGCCAGAGATTTACCCTAATTATGTGAATGTGAATTATTAAAATGTTTAAATTTAGTAAAAAAAATTTTAGGTTATTTTTATTTTATGTGAATTGGTGTTTTGCCTGTGTATATAAGTGTATCTATGTCATGCAGTTCCCATGGAGCCAAGAAGAGGGCATCAACTCCCCTGAAACTGGAGTTAAGAGATGCTTATGAGCTGCTGTGTGGGTGCTCAGAACTAAACCCAGGTCCTCTGCAGGAGCACCTAGTGCTCTTAACTGCTGAGCCATCTCTCCAGCCCCCAGAATTTTTTTTCTCTCTTAAGCACCATTGAAAATGTTTTGCACACTTGAATTTTCTTAACTTCTTGGGGCAGGCATTAGGATTACACAATTTATCTCCAAGCCACAATGATATAATTGTTTGGTGGTGGTCTCCTGTGGGGTTGTCTCAATATGAGAGATCTTGACTGAACCCTAGATAAGCGGGGCTTCTGTATCAGGATGATTGGTACCACTGGCCAAAGGGAGAACCCGGAGAGCTGGACACATAGTTGTGGTGTGTCTCTCGCGGTGCTTC